TGAACCTACAACATTAATGAAAAAAAGAACAAGGTTTAGTTTCAAATAAAGTAATATAAATGTATCTTGGTCCCATCACATATCTTACCACTGAAAATACATGTGCAACATCTAACTTCATTCTGGGAAACTTTCAGTGTTCCTTCTACAGAGGAGAAATTACTTTTCAACAGCTGGCCTAGTTCCTACTTCCCATTCAGTATTTGAAAATAGAAAAAGCAAAATTTCTTCCCTTTTTTTAATTTATAAAACCCATAAACCTTCCTTGCCATTCTGCCAGTTTCAAAGGATCACTGTCTTAAACCTCTACTATTCAAAAGTAGCATTATTTATAATAATTAATCTTCTGTCTTCAGACTTTCCAAGGAAAGGTTTTAATAAGCACAACATTTATAGCTTCACAAGCAATGTTTGAGATAGATGAGAAGACCTAAAATCATATTCAGCCATTTAATTTTAAGGATATGCTCAACTGAAAGCAGAGAGTGGCAGTGTGCAAGGTTAATGGTTAGACTTGATGATCTTAAAAGTCTTTTCCAACCAAAACAACTCTGATTCTATGAAATATTTTATTATCATTGAAATCAAAGCTATGTAGTGAAGGGGCAGGGTAAAATACACAAAAGTGAGTAGACATTTTGTGAGTAGAGTGATGGATTCCTTTTTGCAAGGATCGCACGTGGAGAAGACCATGCACAGTTTAGTTAAAATTATCTGTTTCTTTTAAGATCAATTTCCTCCTTTCAAAGTCCCCAGAAGAGCCTACAAAAAGTTATGTCTGAAACAAAAGCTAATCACTCCTTTTCATACATCATTGGATTTCCACACTGCAAACCTGCATAAAACACAAAGTTCCTTGAAATATCCCACTTTGACTTATAGCAAATCTCCTACATTCTGTGAGAGAGGATCAGAGACACAGCGTGGCAACTGGCAAGAGAATTTTTTTTAAGCTACTCTTTATGTAGCTAAGGGTGAAAATGAACAGTCTTCGCACAATTTAATGCTTTAATCCCTAAGTGTTAAACTCAGTAACAGGTTGGCTTAATGCCAAGTTGGAGACTGCTTAATACGTTATCTCCTACTTCATAATAAAGCATTATTGTGAAAAAAAAATTAAGAAAATTAGTTACTACCCCCTGAAGTCCTTAATATGGCAATTCTATATTAGAAAAGCTCCAGAGCTGATCTAATCTGCTTTTTAACCTGAATTTGCCTATACATGTACATAACTAGCTACCCCAGTACTCCCACTGAATTTAAAGGAAATCGAGCAAGTAGTTAAGGACTCTGCCTGGTAAAGGATATTAGATGGATACTTACAAAGCCCATTTCCTTCTCTGAATAGTCTACCCACCCACCCTAGCTGCATAAGCGGTATTTGCTGGATAACAATTTGAGAACTAGCAATGAAAAATGTGACTACTGGTGATGCAATGGCTTCAATCTTACAGGACCTAATCTGTTTAACTATGAGCCTGCCAAAACTTTCAGAGATTTCAGAAAAACTGGTGAATTTAAGTATATTCAATATTCGCAAGGCCAGGATGAGCAGGAGTAATAACATTTTTAATACAACATACACTAACCCATCTATTTCGAATAAAAACAATGAACCCTGGAACCTCACAAAATGTTAACATTAAGACTGAACTGTACCTTTCAGCTACATAAGATTAATGGACTCACTTGGTTTAAAGCAAAAAATAACCCATACTATATCACAGCAGAACCTGTATTGCAAATTCAACTTTTGTATTCACTAAAACAATTCACATCTTAAAACATTACAATAGGTGTATCTCAAACAACTGTAGTCAAAGATCACGTTGAGCCTACCTTGATTGGCACAAACTCCCTAATAAAGTTGATACCATGTTCTTCCATATATCCACCAATTTTGTTTGCCATATCCTGGTCAAATCCTCTTAAGAGGATGGATCTCACCATGACAGTGACATCTAATCCAAGACCTGCAAGAAATCCTGCACATTCCAAGGCAACATAGGAAGCTCCAACCACCAGGGTTTTCCCTGGACAGTAAGGCAGAGAGAAAAGATCATCACTGGTAAAAAAAAAAAAAAAAAGTTAGAGACAACCAGAAGAATGTATTCCTCTGTATATTTATCTAACTTCTTCTGTAAGAATATCACCTTATTCCTTTTCCTGCTCACTAAAAAAACTAAACAACTTAATTTTTTGGAAATTCATCTGCAATACAAGATCAGTACATGACAGATTAAAAAATTCTAGTTAGGAGTACACAGAAAAATAAGAGTATGAAAACTGAATCACCACAACAATTTTGAGGGGTTTTAAACAGAAACTTATGACAAATTGTTAAAATAAGCTAGGGTGTTTTTTTTCTCTGAATCTTGCTTCAGGTATTTTGCTGCAAACTTTAGCTCCTGAGGGCTAAAAGGAAGAGGAAGAAGTTCAGCTTCAAGATAAAAATACCATTTTCACTTCTTTGAAGACTTATCCTTTTGCTAAAGCATTATAGACTGTGCCAAGTATGCACAGGCAATAAAACAAATTAATGCAAACCACAGTAACAGGCAAAGACAGAAGTACAAAATTATGAAAAACACGTTTATTTGCCTGCTTTCCATTTATTTCAAATGCTTTTTGAAGCTACATCAGTTGTACCACACTTTGGACTTAGACTTTAAAATCAGGGCTTCTCAAGGAAGCACAGACTCCTGGAAGCATCATACTTGCTCAGCAGAAACTTTGGCAGAGTTTGGCAGTGGAAACCTCCAGAGATTTAACGCTAAATAAGTGTCTCTTTCTCAGCCAACAATTGCAAAGGCTAAAAGTATATCCTCTCTGCAAATGCTGTGGTGGAATAAAATATGATTGTGAAATTAAAGGCTACATCATAGTTCCTGTCCTCCAGGGAACCCACTGAAGATTACACAGACAGCCTCAACATAATAGTCTTTAACTCTGGCATTCCTAAAAAAAAATTCCTGGCTCTTCCACCTTAAAGTTATTTTAAAGCATCAGTTTACAGGCTAAATTATCTGTTACCTTTAATTTCACTACTACTTATTAAAGGGAAATACACAACATGGTGTTTTGGTTTCACAGGGATTATGTTGGTCATTTATTCCATTGCTATAGGTTTGCAAGCCTGTAATTCCAACCTCTGTTTCCACATTAAGCAGCTTAAAAGTTTCTCATATATGAAAACACATTTCATCTGTATACCAGGTTTTTTGGTCAAAATTAGCTAGAATTGCTTGGTCTTATCAATTAATCAGACATTTGAAATGGGTTTTCTGAAAAGCTGAATTAACTTCACTGAGTAGGAGGAAAAAAAAATTGTGTTGAGTTTTAAGACTGCCCCAATGCATAAAGACAAACAGATTCCTGTCAGCTTCACAACTGCTTTGCACCTCCTGCTTTCCTCGACATTTGAGCAGGTACGTTTACTCCAAGCAGACTGTGCTCTTCATTACCACAAATCTTCAGCATTGTGAACTGAAAGACCACATGGAAAAGAGAGGAGGTGGTTGTACTGGTAACCAAGGCAGAGCTGATAAGTTAATTTTATGATGGACATGCACATGATTTCTGGTATTCTCGGTTACCGCTGTTATCAGTCAAAACCAGAACCACCTTAGCCAGCCACCCAGAGTCATGTGGTGTCCACAAGACACCAACATTTTTGCCACCTTTAACTCTGCCTACATCCATTCTTCTGTGCCTACCTTCCCCAACAAAAGTTACATAGGAATGAAAACCATTAGCCAGTCAATCCTACTCATGCTTCACCACTTTATCTTACAGGTGAACTGTATACACATGGTTAATGACTCAATCCTTCTCCCTGTTTTTACCTGCTAATGCAGTATTCCTTGTCTCCAGGTATACCAAGGTAGCGTGGTCGTTCACCAGTGGCAATGAGAAATCTCTCAGCTGTGTACAGCTTCTCAACTCCTCTTTTATTTGTTGCCTGTGGACAAAGTATTAGTTCAGAGTGAGTATTTCACAGTTATATCAAGGGAAAAAAATATTATCCTACTTGAAAAGCATCTCTATTCAGAAAGTACAACAGAAGATCCATTAAACAGGGCTAGGGATTACCTTAACTGTGTGTGGCCCAATGAATTCTCCATACGCATTCTCGTATGTGACTTTCTTGTCTCTCAGTGCAACCCGATAACCCCAGTTCAGTGAACTAATGTAATTCTGAACAGATTCTGTCATAGTCATCCAGTTGTGCTTGACTGTTAAAAACAAAAGAGAAAGGTTCATCTTGCAGTCTGCAAGTTCTTCTTTTTCCATAGTCAACTTTGTAGTCTCAGACAGATTTTTTGGTGATCCAGTTAACACAGAAACATTCTGTGGCAATCCCTTAGATGTTGTGTTACCTTCAGAAATGGAGTAGTATCTTTTTGCTTTTATTCACATAGCTACCTTATAAAATACTAATACAATCAGAAGCTATTAATAAACAGATCAAATGCTGCAAGGCAATAAACCCCATGGCTTTAGACTTGAAAAGCACTTAAATTCATGTGTAATCTCTCTGAAGTTGACTCACGTTGTCAAAGCCAGCTTAAGTGTAACAAGCAGCTGACTGTGAAAAGCACCTCTGGATTTTCAGCACAAATGAGAAAACTCTGCAAAATATTTTATTTATTTACCTTCTTCTGCAACCTGCCATCCAAAGTTGCGTGAGTCTTGCAAGGCTTGTCCCAGTAAAGCTGCCTGGTGCATCAGTTTTTTAGGTATACAGCCCACATTTACACATGTTCCTCCAAGACCTGAGAGAAAGGAACAAAATGTGGTTTTCACTTTAGTGTGACTGATCTCAAAGAATAATCAGAGTCTCATTGTAAAGGAGATTTACTCAAGGTTTTCAATGAGGAGAAATTTACCCCATGAGTTTCCCAGAGGTGTAGGCGTGACAAAGTCCAGCACCATCACTTTCTTTTCATATTTGGCAGCCTCCTGCAAAACAAATTAAATAAGGCACATATCTCAATATTAGAGGTTAAATGTGGAGTAGATGCTAACATCACACATCGCTGAAAAGCTTTGTGACTTTTAATTAAGTAATAATTAATTATTTGCAAGGGAAAAGCAAGGCAGTCATTAATCTTCTGGATTAATCTGTGCACTCAGTAGAGAAAAAAAGATGAAGGGAAGAAAATGGGCAACCATCCTGCTACACAACAGAATGGTACCAGTTGATAAACAGCAGACTCTGGGAGTCAAATCTCCTCTCTTCTTCATTGTGTCTGTTTGTTCCCACTATTTCCCAACATGCTATTTACTTGTAACATATTTAACAAATTCTTCGTTAATCCAGTCTTCCCTTCAAAGATGGTTACTCAAACTTTTGTTTGAAACCACATCACACAATGACATAAGCAATCACATGGCCAAGTATTACAACTGTGTTTATTCAATCTTTTCCCTTGTAGTAGAAGGAAATTTTGAGGACAACTTGTAGTTGTCAGAATCAGCTACTGCTCTTCAAGTTAGTCAATCTACAGCAAGTTGACTTTATTGTCAGGATAAGCAGATGCCATCCAGACGGAAAAGTGGTCTATTTCATTGTATTTCCCCTGAGAAGTTTCACTAGCAAATCTACCAGCAATGTGTGTAAATGACACTGAGAACTAGAATTACTATACTGATTTCCATAATCTCCTTCGTGCTTCTTAAGAAAAAGGCAAAAATCAACAGCAATAACTGGTAGCAGAAAAAAACCACATGAGTAAGCATTACATAGTCGAGAGACAACAATGGCAGATTGCCCCATGAAATGCAGCAAAATCACTTTGATACCTGGAGTAACCACAACTGTGCTGCATCACATGATGAGCAGACATGTAAGCAATAACAGCTATAGGCACAGGACACCACCCCAAGGCCTCGGGAGCAGCTGGACTGCATTCAGCATTATGTTACCAGTAATACTTGTTAATCCAAACAGTTGACAAGCAGCATTTCAATTTTAAATGTATCTTAATTGATGTAAAATATAAATCATATTTCAAACAACACAGGCTGTAGACACCTTTGGAAAATATTACTGTACTGGATTTCTGCTCATGATTAAAGATCAAAGTTTGCTGAGAAGCTAAATTGCTATCCATCAGAAGCACTTCTGAGAAAGTTCCTCAGAAAGGTACTTACGGACTGAGATGAGTTACTAACGCTTCTTTATAATAACAACTCTTCTATAAATCTCAAAAGAGCTGTACTAGTGTTAGCTAACTAGCATACACAGATTCTCCAGCTTCCACTCAGCTACCTGCTCACATAATAGAGTGCAGCATTGCGTTGCCACCCCGGTAGAGATCACAAACAGATATGACCACACTTCTGCAGAGCAGTACACCCACAGCAACATAACCTGCCTTGTAGGCTTTTAAACCACACTGGGTTCAGCACAGGGCTGCAGGAACCCAACAAGGTTTCTTATGGTTAAGCACCAGCCTGGCACTCGGTTCTGGGGCTGTGGTTGGGTTGTACAGAGTCAGCTTGGCAGTGTTTTCACTCTCTGTGGAGACATGACTCCAAAAAAACATACTCTGAGCAGAACATAGAAAAGAAAGGGAAGATGTGCACACAAAGCTGCAGTGTGAAAAACACTGATTTCATCAACCTAGTTAAAATGCTTCAAACCCGAATGTAGGTACCTGGAACTTGGTTTAAGAGCTGTGTAGTTGGTTTTTTTCCCCTTTGTTTTGCTTTTTAAAGCACTGTATGTTAATTAACTAAAAAAAAAAAAAGAGAATAATTTAAGTCAAGTCAGAAGTTTATTTGTGTAAAACAGTTTCACTTCAACTTCATGAAACTGATTTGAAATACACACATTTTGCTGTTAGTGATGCTGACTTTATTGATTACCATCTTCTGCCCTACTCAACAACCACCTGAGAATGCTAAGAAGCAATATACTTTATACACTGAGTTGAAAGAATAAGGCAATTTATCTTCTTAGCTACAAACCTTTGCTGTCCCACGGCTGAAAAATGATACAATAAACATCACTGCTATAGCTTCACAACCTAGCTTATGCATACAACAAAGCAGAGCAGTCTCCTTATGGAAATTTCAATGGATAGCTTTTTATTACTGCAAGCTGGTTTTGCATTACTGCAAGCTCCCTTTCATTCTTGTTACTCTCTTCTGTCCTAAAACATCCCCATTCTCTGAAAAACAATGTCGGCTTCTCATTGTGGGTTTTATCTTTCATGCTATGATAATAGCGCCCTTATCAATGGGAAGGCAGTAAACTAACAAAATACATAATGGACGTACAGCACATCACAATCCACTACTCAGCACTGCACTCTTCCATTATAATAGAAGTTCTTCTAAGGGACCAAGGTTTAGTGTTAACCCAATGCTAGACTGAAATATTTTCTCCTTATTTTGCTTCACTCCACAATGACCTCCTTCTCAAGGACACAATGACCACTTCTCAAGAGCAGAAGAAATGTCTCTTACTTGGAGGAATAATCCAGCTCCAGGTCTTGAGCAATTAAATAATTTTATTTCTAGAAATGTTGAATGAACTTCTAAATAGTTCATTCTAGCACAGTGAGAAGAGGCAAAACATGCCTAACTACTGATGGGAAAGAGAATTACAGACTTAAATTAAATTTCAGCAAGTTTCAAATATCTGGGACAATGACAACTCTAAGAGCTGATGTATTTTGCATCACCATGGATTCTTTTAGTTAATTCCAGATATGCTTCTAAAAGCAATAATCTAACCAAAATCCTAAATTATTTGACCACAGGCAGGAAGTACTAGACCGTAGAAATGAAGGGTGGGATGCTAACTCTGCTTGAGTATAGGCAAAATCTCCATTCATGCAACTATGTAAGCTCACAAATCACAAAATCTCCGCTTTTAGATAAAATTAGAAACCTCCTGATGTTAATTTTGAATAGCTTTAAGAACTTTTTCAATTACTAGTTGAATTTCAATTCAACTACTGTTGAATAAATGAAATAATAAATACTGTTGACATACCTATCTGCTGTTTTCCGACTGCATCATCTCATATTAGTGAGGACCAGGTTTCATTCTACTAAGAAGTATACCATGACATTTTCACATTTTTCTTCTTCAGAACATAAGGAAAAGAATCTTGTATAACTGGGGCTAACCTCAAAAGAACACCCACTGACTAGGCAGAAATGTTATGCTCCTGCAGTGTTAAAGATGCAAAGCTCCAAGATGCTGAGGATGTCACCCACCGACTTACAAGGAAAGCACAAATTTGTGTTTTCTCTCTCATACCTTGGCAGCTGCCAGGCCACCTGAGCCCCCACCAATGACAATGAGATCATAGTCGTAGGAATGCGGCACCGATGGAACTCCGTTCATTTCTGTCAGTTTCTGAGGCTTGTCTTCCTTATGTGCCTGAACAGAGAAAACAAAAAGGATTAGGGAACATTGAAACAGAAGTAAAAAAAAAACACAACAGTATTTTCAGCAGCAAATATTGTGGTAAGTGGACATCACTGCACTGGAATTTTATGAGCCCTGCTTTTAATTAGATTTTTAAATTTCATTTTCTTAATCCATACTTGAATTGCTCAGTGCTTATTAGATAGATACTGAACCATGAAATTTCTTGTTCATTGGAGCCCTGGGTTTCCTTGTACAGCTCAGTTTTCCATATCAACAGTGCCTCCTCATACTGTGTACTCCAGGAGGAGATACATACCCGCTGACACAGGCATTCCATTAGTTTATTTTACTCTTTTCATCTGCCTCTCCTAATTACTGTTTTTCCCCTCCTTCTGCATATATTAGTAGGAAAATACAACGATCATATACAACATTGTAATAATCTGTAATTACCAGCCTTACCAACTGAATAAACAAAACTGAAAGAAGAAAGCTATTTCTGAAAACTAAATTTTGGTAACATACCTGTGTTTATTATTGCTTTTGGTTTAGCACTGTAACTAACTTTGGTGTCAAATGGATCAAGTGTGAATACTACAGTTGCACAAGAGCTTTTTTTAAAAAAAAATCAGATTACTATCACCACAGGAAAAAAACCTAAGTCTTAAAATGTATTTTGACAGCTGTAGGCCACAAAGAACCTGGCATTGCCTTTATATACTCTTTATAAAATGAGCCTTTGTACTTTATTTGTGAAGCTCCGATCTATCAGGTCTTCAGACATTCAAATCTCTGCAGTTGCTGACAAAATTCTCAGAGACTGTCAAACCGCAGGACAAGATCTGAAGCGAGTAAAACTCGTATTCCTCAGCTGATGTAAATTGGTGAGTATCAACTAACATCATGACAAAACCTTTAAGACCAAAAAAAGTAAATTAAGAAACCCATGCTTAGTCACTTTACAAATCTGCTCACTTTTATTAAAGTGTTTTTATCTGCCCAACTAGGTAGGTCTTAATAAGGTACTACTAAAACAGCCATAGCAAAGGAAAGAAAGGAAAGGAAGGAAGGAAGGAAGGAAGGAAGGAAGGAAGGAAGGAAGGAAGGAAGGAAGGAAGGAAGGAAGAAAGAAAGAAAGAAAGAAAGAAAGAAAGAAAGAAAGAAAGAAAGAAAGAAAGAAAGAAAGAAAGAAAGAAAGAAAGAAAGAAAGAAAGAAAGAAAGAAAGTTCCCCTTCCCCCTTCTCTTTTAGTTTAATTTTGTTTTTTATTAAGCAGCCCTTTGCTCTCAAGCCACTGTACTGTCACTTTCTTCTGAGATTGTATTGTTCACTCTCTTGAAGCGTGAACTTACAGTGTCTACCCCAGAGACTGCTGCCAGTGCAGCCATATCACTCAAAAAAATCCCCTATCCCTCCAGCAAACTAGACAGCAAAGTCAGCAGAAATTCAGACTGTGTGTCTGCCTGTAGAAAGTTATAATTTAATAGCATTACATAACCCTGAGTAGAATGTTAACAGTAGAAACAAAACCTAGAAAACACCTGTGGCTGTTGCGGAGACATCCAAAAATACCTTGTACTTCCTTCCTCTTCTCCACCACCCCAATATATACCACCACCACTGAATGTACTTCATGCTTGGTTCCCCTTTTTTTATTTTTCTAACATGGCCATCAGCCAGGCTCAAACTTCCTTTTGCAATCAGAGTGAAAGAGGAGCATATATTGTATTATGAGATGCAGTTTCACTTCATTCATATTTAGGAACATAAAATCAAGAGAAAGTATGCCATTCTATTCCAAAGAACACCACCTTATTTGCTCAGAGGCAACAGGATGCTGTGAAGCTTAAGGGCAGATTAACTCCCACACAGTCATCAGACCCAGCTACCAAGAATGGTATTTTTATGATGCATATAAAGAAACCACCATACTTACTAATAAAATTTACTTAGATCACTACTTATGTCACGCTAGTTTTTTGGTTTATTTGAGAAAAATGCTTTATGGTTTCACATGTAATAAGAAAATTCAGCTTTTACTCCCTACTGTTTCGTTCATTTTTCATTAGTTCTTCATGATCATTCTTCATGAAGACACCATAAAAGTTTAGATCAAACAAAGCAAATTACAACCTTCCCTTCTGAAATCACCTCCTGCAACCCCGCTCCAAAGTGGTCAGGATCTTGACAAGCTCCACTTTCAATTTACTGGGGAATTTGCTCATGACCAGGATCCCATCCTGAGAACAGATCTCCATTCTTCTCCCAAGAGCTACGATTTTTAAAAGAAAGCCCACTTTCTTATTATTTTTCAATGCCAAAACTAAATTATAGACTTTAAAATGCATATCCCCTTACCTTTAAAGTTTTCTCATGATCACCTGTTTGCTTCTCCTGTACAAAAACAACTGGCTGGGAAGCTTCTGCTGTTACTTCACACTGTCCTTCTTGCAGCTTCTGTGCTCCCTCTGTGAAATAAAGAATAAAATAATGTCGTGTCTGGAGAGATGTCCTTTATGAAGGCTTCACTCCTCCAGTGAAATTGTCTGGGGGAGTGGCCAAGCGGCTTCATCGCTTCCTCATCAGCCTGTGTCAGGGGAGCATTTCCTTAGGCAACTGATGAGTCATTTGCAATGCTAGGATGACTTGCTATATTTTTCTCTTCACTAAAATCCCATATGAGATTTGGCTGGGATTTCAGTAGGTTTTGCCAATTCAACAGTATGCTTGGAACAAAGCAAGGAAATAAGATTTGCTGGAGGTATGCCTGAAACTTCAGTCTTAAAGGAAAATTATTATTTTTACACTTCTTGCCCAGAAAGTAATTTTCTTATGCTCATGTGCTGTCATTTTATTCAGTCTCATATTTGTAAAATTGGATTCAAGTTTTCATTCTTTTCCTGCAAAAGTTCAATTTACTGATATATTTGTTTTTTCCATGCAGATATCACTCCCAAAATAACTTCTGACATATGGTATTGCACATACTATGAAATGCCTTAAATACATGTATTCAAAAATTTGGAAAAGATCTGTTTGCCTGTGAGTCATAACTCATTTTACATATATATATATATATATATATTCTGTTGGAGATATACCTATCTCCAATAAATAAGGTTAAGTATATTAGTGGAAAGGAAAAAATCAACATCTTTACACATAGTGATACTTTATTTCATATAGTATGGAAAAAGAAGAAAATCCTCAATTGGAATCCATTATCAGCTCTGCTTTCCTCTACATAACTCTGAGTTACATTAGGCTTAATTATCCAATAAATGGGTCAATACACACTTGTTTGTACTTAATCGCATACATACTTTGCACTGCACAACCAACATTAATTAATAAACTCTGACACGTGCACATACTTAGACAAAGAGCCATGCTGAATATGTGTACATTCCTTGGGCAGTGAGCCCACAAACTCGAAGAGCATTCACACACACACGTGCACAAATGCAAAAAGGCAGTTATTGAAAATTGGTCTGTAATCTTGGCATCTCTGATTTCTTCTCTGAAACCTGGTGGTAAAAATCCTTCATCTCACAAAGGTACTGGGAAGGGTACTTTGCTGATCTTGGTAAGGGGTTTAAAGATAAGAATAGTAATGTAATGTTTAATAGTATAACTAGTGATGGAGAGAATACTTGGCCTATTCTACCTTGGGGAAGGAATGCAGGAATTAATCTGCATGTCTACACACACACGTGAAAAAAGAAAAGCAAGAACACAGGTTTTGAATGCTAGTCACAATCTCCTCAAAGGAGAACTTTTTTCTTTAACATATTATCAATCACAGCTAGGATCCTGCATGTACCTGAAATGACTGAAGCCTTATATTTTATACCTAAAACAAGTTTGAACAACCTCAGGAATGTTCACCTAAAACTATGTCTTTGGTGAGATAAAAATCTACCCAGTCAGACAACACAGACATTTATAAAAACATCTCTATTTTCAAGTAGACGTGTACTAGAGGTACCTAGCTTTAACAATAGCCTCAAAACCCAAAGGCAACTGTAGCCTCTGGCAAAGACTTTAAAGACTTTCATGCAGGCTGCTGCTGCTAGAAGCCTCTCCCTTGTAGGTCTGGGCAACCTGCCACAGTCAGGATGACAAAGCAAAAAATGCACAGAATGTCACATGCTTGCTCTTCATAAAATTGCATCCACTAATGGCAATTAGAATAACCCACAGTCCTGGTGGATTGATAATTTCCAGAAATCAATCACTAGATATCTTTTTGCAGAGCAAAACTGCTAAGGAGAACCCAGAATACAGAGCTGCTTTGGATAACCTTCAGAGATGTAAGTGGTGAGGACATCTCTCTTTTCCTGTAAGCATCAGTGCTACTGCAGCAAGTCTGTAGAGACTCACCACCATTGCAGGAAGATCCAGTGATGCTCTTACCCTGCACTACCACCACCTTTGTTTTTTGTTCGTTTCAATCTAGAAGATGGTGGCTGTTGAGTACTACCTCCCCTGACAAGTGCTCCTTGACATGGGATAAACCTAAGATATTGCCACTATCAAAAGGGGACAAGCCTACTCTCTTTCACCACACTGGTCGTCTTCTTTTTGCTGTGTGCATATTTGGCACCAGCTATGTCAGACAACACTCCCTTACATGAGCTAAATCAGTTTGCTAACCTAGGAGAAAACTAATCCAGGAGAAGAAAAGATAGGGACAGGTTCCCACCAGCCTAACAAGCTCATCCAGCTCAGGGAAGGACCTCACAAGCACTGCAGCAGGTGCCAGGCAGAAAGCACACCCATACAGACAGACAGGAAGAGAAGAAACCAACGTTTATCTTGCTAGTGGCAGTAGCAAAACTGCCCGTTTTGGTCAGCAGCTTGTTAAAACAGAAAAAACTCCACCTTTTCAGCATTCACCTCAACTAGTTTCTGAAGCAGAGTGCACCAAGGCTCAGTGCCACTCCTTGAGCAGAGAAAAATAATAAATACAATGAAACAACCACAGTATTTTTAATCCATATGCTTCCTTATTGGGAGTGAGCTTCCTCAAAAGCCAAAGTCCTCCCTGGCATTGAGACCTATGAACTTCTGACTGCCACTTATGTAACTTCTAGCAGGGATTAAAAAAGGCACAGATTTCAGAAGGCCTTGACCAGGAAGGAATGTGACCAGCTCAACACAACAGCCTGGACCAGCTTTGTGATCAGAACTGCCTCAGGATAAGAATCCCTTTACTTTGCAGAAGCATCCACCGAGAGGTCCAGCAGGCTGATGAGGCAGGATGTGGGGACCCATGGAAAGCACCTGCTCTTCAACTACTTCCCATGAAGATCTTAAGCACTGCTTCAAGGCAAAGGTCTTTGCTGATTTACCTAGATTTTCTGTATCGCACAGAGATACATTAACAACAATTATATTGACAAACAATATAATTAAAAAATAGGTGTCTCTAGTCCGGTAGTTCAGAAGATGTCTCTAATTTTGTAATGCTTATCAACAAGCCTGTATTTTGCTTTACAGCCTGACCTTTAGGCATCTGAGACATACAGGTTATTTTCTATGATGATGAATATTTACCTTATGCTCAAATGAGCTTTTTAGGTGGAGAAACTTTCGACTTTTCATTCTCCTAGATTGGCTCATTTCTCAAACATTTGGAAGTGATAATAGCAGAGCCATCATGTCATCCAGACTATGAGAAAGGGAAAAAAAGCAAGCCTTTAAAATACACATCTCCAGCCTGAATCATATCATAGATCCATGCAGAGAGGTTGCCTTGCCATCAGCTGAGCTGACAAAACTACGAAGGAATGGAAATTTGGGGCAGGATGCTGAGAAGGGTGAGAACTTCTTAAACTGCCTTTGCCCCTACAGGAATCACAACACACCCACATTTCCCTGAGGGCGAGGATCAGTGGGTGAAAATTAAAAAATAATACTTAGAAACTGTACTTAGGTGCAAACTAGACCTTCAGACCACCTCACACAGTTTATTTTTCACTGTAACAGAGATACAGTGTAGCCTTACAGCTAATTAAGAGAAGCGGTGGAGTTGGCTATTGTGGAAGACATGTCAGGGCTTGCTTAGGTAAGGGCTGCATGTGCTGTGATCCTGGCCAAGAACCACTGGTGCCTTTGACAAGATAAACTAGCACAGCCCTGCAGCTATTCTCTTTCTTTCCAAGTGTTGTTTCAGCTGCCCTGCCAGAGGAAGTATAAAGATAGCTTAGAGGTACATTTGCCTCCTCACCTGAACTCAGCCTAAGTCTGAACCCATAACAAGTCAGTAAGTTAAGACAGGCCAACCCAACATCATTTACACGCAGAGAATTCAATGCTCACTGACAAGCACTGTTAATGAACTAAGTGTAAAGCACCATGTGTGCTTTACTGCAGAAATCATACAGCTAGAACAAAATCTTCACATTCCCTCCTAACTGTCAAATATTAATGTAATGAAATTCAGGTGAAAAACCCTACCTCAGAGCATCTTTTGCACCTACTTACATAAGCAGAAGCTTGTAACAGTTGTATGTACTCCATATGGTTCATAATTTTAGCCTCCAAGGAAGAAGTTCTGTGATGGAACAACTGAAAGCACTTCACCAATACCACAAAAACATGCATCTTTCCCAGGGCTAAAGGTTGGTTTTTTTTTCCTAAAGAATCTCACTGTCTGCAAATGCAAGTACTGATGAAGGAAAAGTTAAGAAAGACTGAACTATGCACTCAGTCCTTAAGACTGCTACATTACCTGTTTCATGCAGTACAAGTGAAAAACAAAGAACTGAGCATTTAAATAGCTCCTTCACCTCCAGAGTACACAAACATCAACAGATGAGACTGAACAGTTGTCCTGGTTTGAGTCAGGATGAAACCAATTTTCTTTTTACTGATTTTTTTTTTTTCTCCAGTGAACTCTCTTTTAAGCAGTACACTTGCTGAAATTAACTGGAAGTCTTCCAGCTAGTGGACTGATAACGCTCAGTGTTAATAGATGCTGCTAAGAGACCAAGGACATTTTGCTCTGCTTCTCAAATTTGCTGCTTTGGACACTTCTGAAGCAGAAGACTCATATCTGGAACATTTTGCTCTGCTTCTCAAATTTGCTACTTTGGACACTTCTGAAGCAGAAGACTCATATCTGGAACCCTCCCATAGGGAGGAGCAGACTAGACAGACAGCATAATTGGGAAACCAAGGTGTTCCATCTATACATTTAAGTAGCTCCCAGTACAAATTCAGAGATCATGGAAGTCAAGTCCTTCGTCTTTTCCACCCAAGGCCAACATCCAGGGAGGACTCTGCTTATCTATCACCATTGATCCCCAGGCCCACGTGTTACTGACCCTCATCACTCTCCCCTCAGCTCTTGTCTGCTCTGCTTCTCTCTCTGGAGGTACTCCAGTACATTTCAGAACTGC